CTAATTTTTTTTTTTTTTATTTATTGTAGAGATGAGGTCTCGCCAAGATGCCCGGGCGGGTCTCAAATCCGCGGCTCAGGCAATTCGCTCACCTCGGCCTCCCAAAGCACGGGATTACAGGCTGAGGCACTGAGCCCGGCCAAAAATTTTATTCTTAATTTCTATATATACAGAATAGTTGTGCGTATGTTTTGGGTACATGTGATATTTTGATACAAGTGTACAATGTATAATGATCAAATCTGAGTACTTGGGGTATCCATTGCCTCAAACATCTATTATTTCCTCGTGTTGTGAACATTCCAAATCTTTTCTTACAACTATTCTGAGATATTCAATAAGGTATTGTTAACTATAAACTATAGTTGCCCTTTTGTGCTACTGAACACTGGATCTTATTCCTTCTGGCTAACTGTAGTTTTGTATCCATGAACCAACTGCTGTTTATCCCCACCTCTTCACTATCCTTCCTAGCCTCTAGTAACCACCATTGTGTTCACTTCCTGCATAAGATCCCCATTTTTAACTTGCACATGTGAATGAAACCAGGCGATATTTATCTTTTTTTGCTATTGGATTGAATTCCTTATGCATTTGGATTATTAATCTAATCTATGAATAGTTTGCAGTTGTTTTCTCCTGTTCACTTTACATAATGACCTCCATTTGCACCCATGTTGCTGCAAATGGCAGGATTTTATTCTTTTATATGGCTGAGTAATATTCCATTATGTATATTTACCACATTCCAAAAATCCATTCATTTGTTAATGTATGCCTAGGTTAATTTTATATCTTGGCTATTGTGAATAGTGGTGCAGTAACCAAGGGGGTGCAGATGTCTCTTTAATATACTGATTTCCTTTGTTTTGTATATATACACAGCAATGGGATTGTGGGATCATATGATAGTTGTATTTTTAGTGTTTTGAGGAACTGCCATACTGTTTTCCATAGTGGCTGTGCTCATTTACATTTCAACCAGCTGTGTTTGAGCATTCTCCCTTTCTCTGCATCCTTATCAGCATTTGTTATTTTTGTCTTTTTGATAATATCCATTCTAACTGGAGTGAGATGATACCTCATTCAGGTTTTGATTTGCATTTGCATTTCCCTGATGATAGTGATGTTGAGCATTTTTTCATATACCTGTTGGCCATTTGTCTTTTTTTGAGAAATGTCTATTTGGATCTTTTGTCCATTTAAAAATTTGATTATTATTATTATTTTTTTTGCTATTAAGTTGAGTTCCTTATATATTCTGATTATTAACCTAATTTGTAAATAGTTAGTTGGTAGATATTTTCTCCTGTTCTTTAGGTCGTCTCGTCTCTTCACTTTGTTGTTTCCTTTGCTGTGCAGAAGCTTTTTAGCTTGTTCTAGTCCAGTGTGTCAGTGGTAAATTTTTGCTTTGGTTGCCTATGCTTTTGAGATCATATTGGAGAAATCTTTTTTTTTTGAATCATAGTCTCACTCTGTTTCCCTGGATGGAGTGCAGTGGCATGATCATGTCAACCACATCCCTGACCTGCTGGGCTCAGGCAATCCTTCTGCCTCGGTCTTTCAAGTAACTGGAACTATAGGCGCACCCCACCATGCCCAGCTAATTCTTTTATTTATTGTAGAGACAGATCTTGCCATGTTGGCCATGCTGGTCTCAAACCCATGGGCTCAGTCAATCCTCTTTCCTTGAACTCCCAAAGTGCTGGTATTACAGGCATGAGCCACCACGCCTGGCCCATACGCATGAAACCTTTGACTAGAGGTATTTCCCCAGTGTTTTCTTCTAGAAACGGCTCGATTTTATTTTTATTTTTATTTTGCCTTGGAGTCTCACTCTGTCTCCCAGGCTGGAGTACAGTGGCATCATCACAGCTCACTGTAGCCTTGATCTCCTGGGCTCAGATGCTTCTGCCTTAGCCTCCCAAGTAGCTGGGACTTTAGGCACATGCCACCATGCCCAGCAAATTTTTAAAAATATTTTTTGTAGAGCTGAGGTCTTGCTATTTTGCCCAGACTGGTCTCTAGCTTCTGGGCTCAAGTGATTCTCCTGCCTTGGCCTTCCAAAATGCTGGGACTAGAGGTAGGACCCACTGTGCCCAGCCTAGAAACTGCTCAGTTTATAAAATCTAAAATGCTACTGCTATTTTGGGTTTTGGTAATGAAGTGCTATTTTATAGTCAACTAGTAACCTGCAAGGATTGAAGATCAGAAATTCTTGAGGAATTCTACTGCAGAAGAAAAATACGTCTGAATTGCAAGTGTGTCTTGGTGTGTGTCTATAAACCAGGGATCCCTATCCCCTTGGCCTAGGACCAGTACCCTCTGTGGGTGCACAACAGGAGGTGAGCTGCAGGCCAGGGGAGCTCCGCCTACTGTCAGATCAGTGTTGGCATTAGATTTTCATAGGTGGATGAACCCTTTTGTGAATGTGCACTAGAAGGCTCTAGGTTGTGCGCTGCTTATGAGAATCTAATGTCTGATGATCTCCACTCCGCTCGTCCGTGGAAAAATTGTTTTCCATGAAACTGGTCCCTGATCCCAAAAAGTTGAGGACTGCTGATATAAAAGATTCCTGTAATATGGATATTGTTGAGGCTAGAAAGAGGAAATATGAATGGGAATGTTTTGAGGAACATGAGGATAGAGTATATTATTGCTTTTCATTAATAGTCACATGTGTGCTGCACAATCTCAGTGCTCAGGAAACTTACAATCTAGTTAAGAAGACCAAAATAGATATGAAATATGAGACTGATTATTAACAGTAAGATGTACATAGTATTCAAAAATATAAATTGAGAAAAATGGGATATAGAACAAAGGAAGGAGCTGATCCAGGTTAGTTTAACAGATGAATAGAACCTAAAGTCAGTTTACAGTTACCTGCCTACCCAAATATTAAAATGAGGTTCTAAACCCTTACAATTGTATTTTAGGAACTTTATCATTGCCTTGTAACATACAAATTAGTTTTAAATTTTGGAATAGTTGGCAAAAAAGCTTATTCAAAAAAAGTGAGGGTGTAGGTGTACATAATTTGTGTATTTATATGTATTTCATGCATATCTTTATGTGTTGCATAAATTTTTAGCTAGTACGTTTAACAGGTATTTTGAAGAAAATAACCCTGAAGTGACTGCAGGTTTTCAGGCATATTTAATATATGACTTAGACATATATTCACTTTAAGAAGTATGATAGCTGTATAGTACTTTTCTTTAACTCTTTTATTTGAGATATAAAGACTCCATTTTGAGGTTTTTATGGAAAATGAAAAATAAAAATAAAATAAAATCTTATTTATTAATGAATATTGTTATCTTATGCTTTCTCCTCTTATTAGAACTTGGTTATCTTTTTCTACTTGTTTATGAAATTAAATTGAGATATTGATATGTTTCTTTAATATTTTTTAAGTTGTAGTCATCTTAATTTTATTTTCTTCTATATAGCCTTTTAAATTTGTTTCATTTCCTTTACTGTTTGCCTTAGTTTTCCATTTCTATTTCATTCAAGGATGTTATACAGTAATTTCTCCCTTTTTCTCTTTCTCTCTTTTTTTTTTGGTAAACGAAGGAATTCATGCTTAGACCAAGCATAACCTGTCTATAAGGTTCTGTAATTTCTTAAGTTATTTTTCATTCTTTTTTTTTTTTTTTGTATGAGGTGAGGAGTTATTTCCCCTCAGAAATATTTTGTTCTTTTTGACTTGAAATTCTGTTTGGTGGTTCTGCTTACTTTCTTTGTTTAAATCTTAACATTCTTAAATTCTTGTCATTTAAATTGTTTTTTTTTTTTTTTTTTTTAAGTTGGATTCTCATTCCATTATCCAGGCTGGAGTGCAGTGGCACACTCATGGCCATCCCAGTGCTGACCTGCTGGGCTCCAGTGATCATTCCTTCTCAGCCTTCCAAGTAACCAGAACTACAGGCATATGCTACCATGCCCCGCTAATTTTTTATTTACTGTAGAGATGCAGTCTTGCCAAGTTGCCTGGGATAGTCTTGAACCTGCAGGCTCAGGCAATCCACTTGCCTTGGCCTCCCAAAGTGCTGGGATTACATGCTAAGCCACTGAGCCTGCCTTAAATTGTTTTTTAATTGTTTCAGTTTTTTGTGAGAATAGGAATCAAGGACTTCTCTTCTTCTCTTCCTTTTTTATGTTAAGAATATAATATATCCCTTTACATATGTATTTGTTAATATTTACCAGATTATTTTCTATATAAGCTGTTTACTTTTTCGTTAATTTATCTTTTTTTATAAATCTGAAAAGTTTTACATGAAGTAAGTAACATTGTCGGTGGAGAGACTCTTCGCTCTTCCCTTCAACTGTGTGATGCCATTTGTGGAAAGTGGGTCGAATCAGTCAGACTTACGAGTGTGGTGGATCAGGAGGTTCTTCCTGTTACGGCCGTCCAAGTGTTTGTCTGTACCCACCCCCATCCTCCTGCCTTATCCCTGTACCTGCCTCTAGTGCATTCCTCCATGTCGTGCTTCGGAAAGGAAAAGGCTGTTTCTAAAGTCATACAAAAAGTGATTGTACTTTTAATTACTTCAGGTCGAATTTAAATTTGATAATATTATCTATAATATACATTTGAAAACCATTTAAAATGATATCTTCATTTTACACAGAAATTACATGTGAATAAATTGTGCTTTTTCTTTTTTCAAACAGATAAAAAATTTGGAGTGAAGGCTAGAATTAATGGGGCTCTGAATATAACCCTGAATTTGGTCAAACAGAATTTGCAGAATCATCGCTTGGTTCTACCTTGTCTTCAGCTTTTACGAGTATATTCTGCCAACTGTGAGTATTTGAGTGACTCAGTTGTGAACTTACACTAAATGAAAGTTTTAAAGTATCTTAATTCTATGAATCTCTAAAATTTGTGGAACTGGAAAGAGAAGATTTAATATGGCTCTTTGTAACTCCTAACTCCAACCACAACAAAAATGATCTCCAGTAAGAGGGTAAGTTGACAGACTCTTGAGAATTCTCACTAATTCTACAGTTTGTAAAGTACTGGAGTGAGGGGGTGAATAGACATCCTGTGGAAAAAATATGGAAGAATATGAGAGTACTGGCGGCTAGAAAAACTCCTATGACTCTGAATTTTCACAGGTGTGAGGAAAGCTGAGAAAGAAGGCATGGAATAGTATGGAGCTAACTGAGCAACCAATAAGGAAGTAGCAGAACCGAAAATAAGTAGTAAAGGACCCTCTTAGGAAGTTAGGGAGAAGAGGGGTTACTTAGAGATAGACTCAGATAGAGTCTCTCCCAAAACACACACTCTCATTTACCAACATTAGGTACCACCCAATGAGATACGGATTTTCTTTCTGTTCTCTGACTGTAGAATTGAAATGGTTAATGAAAGAATGAACCTTAAATTGTAGATTATATGTTGTTATGGAATATTGTAAAATGATGATATAATGTTAGATGTGTGTGTGTGTGTGTGTGTGTGTATGTAGTATAGAAACAAGTTATTTTTATATATCTGTAAGTTGACAATGTAGCTAAAGGTATGCTCAGAGAAAAATAGCTCTGAATACTTAAATAATTAACACTATATAATTAAAAAGAACATAAGGAAAGGAATGAATTAGAAATCTAACTAAAGAAGTTAATGGAGAAATAAACACAAGGAAAGCAGAGAAATGAAACAGTGAAGGGAAAAATGAGCAAGAAATATAAGAAAATAAAAAGCAGTTGATTTTAAAGACAAAACTGCATTAGATTAAGAATAAAGTAGATAAACCAATGAATACTTAAATCACTGAAAAAGACAGTACAGACTTAAAATTATAAGGGATAATCGAGTCATAAACAGATATAGAGAAAATTAAGATCATTCTAGAAAGCATTAGGAGCTACGTTTTTGGTAACATTTTATTGAATTAACCATTAGAAAACTAGCAAATGGCTTATCTATAATCAGTTTTTCTTAAAAAATTTTTTTTTTTTATTTTGGAAACAAGACTCTTGCTATGTTGCCTATACTAGCCTTAAACTCCTGGCCTCAAGTTGATCCTCCTATCTCAGCCTTCCAAGTGCTGAAATAGTAGCTGGGACTACAGGCGCATGCTACCGTGCCTGACTCCATAATATGTTTCAGAATTGAAAATGTTGGAGACAGTTTTCTAGCTAGGTAATCGCTTGCATATTCCATGTGAAATACTAAAATTGTTTCATCCTTTTTCCTGTTACAACTGCTTCAGTTAAGGTCCTCATTACCTCTTACCTAGGCTGTGGCCTCCTTTATGTCTCTCAAAACCATCGTCCCCAGGCTGCTATGAGTTCTGATCTATTTATTTGAGATCCCTATGGCTGAAAGAATTAACTTTCTAGGGCCCTTCATAATTTGTTTCTTACTTTTTTTTCACCTCATCTTTCTATCTGTATGTCTTTGTCTGATGCTGTATGTTTTAACAACATATTACTGGTTGTACCCATGGTATTCATGGTTTTTATTCTACTGTCTGTCTTACCCCAGTCTCCAGAGATACTACAGACCACATCTACCCCTACCCCTTCATGCCAACTCCTGTCCTCACTAACTCCTATTGAACCTAGGCATCATTTTTTCCAGAAATGCCTGTTTCACTTTGAATTAGGAACTTCTCAGTGGTATAATCCAAGTAGTCTACAATTCTTAACCCATTTACAAAGTAATTTAGTAATTATTTGCTTATTGTTTCTGTGATTTTCTCTACACTTTGTTCTCTGAATGTTTAGTTTTGTCTCTGAATTGCTCTAAATTTATTGAAGAAACAAATGGAGTAACTGAAGTACTTTTTTATCGTAGTATTTTTTGGAATATAACTTGTTTCTGGATTTTTCTGTACTTTCCACAAAAAAAAAAAAGCAAAACCAAACACATCCTCCTTTTAAGTGTTTAGTTAAGGTCGACTTTAAGAGTGACTTGAGTTCATATTTACTAAACATTTTGTATATGTTTTTGGCTATATTCACTGTGTACGCATTTTCAGTTATTGAAGTCTTAAAATCATTTGTATCTTTTTCTTCCCCTCCCAGCTGTGAATTCAGTATCTTTAGGGAAAAATGGAGTTGTGGAACTTATGTTTAAAATCATTGGACCATTTAGTAAGAAGAATTCCGGTCTTATGAAGTGAGTAAATATTTTCAATGTAAATGGAGGTATATCCTTTGTTACTCTGGCCCTCATTGATAGCAGGTTGAATTAAATTGTGTCTAGGATCCTTTCTTAGTTCTTGAATAGTGATTTAATTATGATAAAGATTTTCTTTAGTGTAAAGTTTAATCTTCAAAAATACATCAATTGGATAATTTTCAATTCACTAAATAGAGTGTTTATAGAAACTTAGACTTCAAATATTTCTGGATGCTATAAGAGGAAAACATTATTTAAAGAATTTCATTCATTTAGGAGCATTTATTGAGTGCCTACTATACTTCCTACCCAATTTTGCAATCTTTTAATGACTACTTTCTTCATTTTTAGGATTACCTGAACATGTCTTAAATTAATACATTTCTGTTTTGTTAAAATCATGTCATTTTTTTCCCTGATCCTGATAAATGTGTGTGTTTGTGTTTTCATTCACTAATAGGTCTTTTTACCTCAGAAAATGAAGTAATTTCCAATTATTTGATTGTAGTTTTGAAGCCATTTTAGAGGTCATTACAATTTTTTTAATTGTGTAATTTTTCAAACCTACCTAAAATAGAGTTTATATTAAACTAATTATATTGAATGAATTGTATTAATTCTTACTACATTAAGAATTATCAACATTTTATCTTTTCTTTTCCTCTATACTTTATTGTTTGTTTTTCCTGGGGTACTTTTAAGAAATTTCAGATTTGTGTGTGTGTGTGTATTTTTGTAAGCAAATTCCATATATTTTTTTCTGAGATTATTTTCGTCAAATAGTATCATTTGTTTTCTAAATACTTATGTATATAACTCTGCTAAATAAAGACTCAAAAACATCACCACCACACTGCAATCATAGCCAACAAAATAATTGATTTGTTAATACAGTCTAAAATCTAGTATATTTAGTTTTTTCCAGTTGTCTCAAAATTGCCCTTTTGAGTTGGTTTGTTTGAATCAGAATCCATTTCTAAGCCTATACAAATGTACCTGCTACCCAGTTTCAACAACAATCAAAATTCTGTCATTTTTTATTTCATGTTTCATTTCTCTGACTTTATGTTGTTTCTAGAGTATTTTAAAGCACATATCAGCTATTGTATTTGATCTGTAAATTCTTAATTTAATTTAATTTTAATTTTTTAAGATACAGGGTCTTGCTCTGTCACCCAGGTGGAGTGCTTGTGATTATACCTCACTGTAGCCTCAAATTCCTGAGCTCAAGGGATCCTCCCACCTTGGCCTTCTGAGTAGCTGGGACCATAGATGCATGCCACTAATCTGGCTAATTAAAAAAAATTTTTTTAGAGGTGAGGCCTCACTATGTTGCCCAGACTGGTCTCAAACTGCTAACTTAAGTCATCCTCCCGCCTCGTCCTCCCAAAATGATGGGACTGCAGGCATGGGCCACTGTGTTCAGCCACTTTGATATGATCACTATCAGATACAGACCTTTTTTTTTTTTTAATGTTGCCACCATATCATTTCTGTACTCAACAATATTATTAATTCCTTAATAGCATCTAATATTCTTTGATTATCTAAGAAATACTACTTTTACAGTTGACTTGTTCAAATCGAGGTCCACATAAAGTCTGTACATTATATTTGATTGATATGTTCATAACCTGTTAAAATCAGTAAAGGTTTCCCTATTTTTTAGTTCTGTTTTATTTGTTGAAGGGCTTGGATGATATGTTTTTTAAAGTAGCCCACATTCTGGATTAGAATGACTGTATTCTGCCATCATTTATAATATGGGTAGATCCTTCACATTTTCTGTAGGCCAATAAGAGCTAGTGGATTAGGTTCTCTTTTTTTGGTCAAAAATATTTCATAGGTAGTGCTGGGTACTTTTTTTGGTATCACTTAAGATCACTGAGTTGAGGTGATCCATCCATTAGAAATGTCCCTGTCTTTAATACTTTTTGCTTAATGATTTAGCAGTCTTTCATGACATTGCTTATATATGTTGTTTCATTAGGTGTCGCAAAATAATGACTTCTCTAATTTTTTTTTCTGTGCTCATTAGTTGTTAGGTTTTTTTAATAAAGAAGAACTTGTCCACATGAACTGTTTGATTATATTTTACTCTTAAACAGATAGTGTTCAGAACATTTTCAGATTTTTATCCTTTCTTAATAAAAGTTACAATATTTTAAAAATATTCTTAGTGTTTACTTGCACATATTTATTAAATATTATTTGGTGGAGAGACAATATATTTAGTTATGTAAGAATTATATATAGTCCTAGAGCACCTGCTGAAATGGAACAAAACAAATGGAATGTCTTTATGACAATCAGCAAAAACAGTTTACAGAATTGGTGTAGTGTAGTGGTTTACAGTAGAGGCAGACAGACCTGGATTTGCTTGTTAACTCCAGCACTTCCTGACCCATGATACAAAGTAAGTTACATAATCTGTTATGCCCCAGTTTCCTGTCAGAATGATAATGTTATTAGTACCTCCATTATAAGGTTGTTGTGAGGATTGAATGAGATGATTCTTATAATTTGCACACTGCCTATATTAATGTAACACAGTTTAGGTAAGCAATGTAGTAATGTGAATGAGTCCTAGCTAATATTAAAAGCATCTTCTTTGTTTTTAAATTTATATACCATTTCTCCTCTTAATCTGTATAAGAATTTATAATTTCTTTTTTTTTTTGAGTTGGAGTCTCACTCTGTTGCCCAGACTGGAGTGCAGTGGCCGCTCCCGGCCACCACAGCCTCGACCTGCTGGGCTCTGGCGATCCTTCCGCCTCAGCCTTCCAAGTAGCTGGAACTATAGGTGTGTGCTACTGCGCCTGGCTAATTTTTGATTTATTGTAGAGATGAGGTCTTGCCAGGTTGCCCAGGCGGGTCTCGAACCCGTGGGCTCAGGCAATCCACTCACCTCAGCCTCCCAAAGGCGCAGGATTACAGGCAGAACCACCGAGCCTGGCTTATAATTTATTTTATGTAAAGGTCATCTTCTCCTTAAAATGTACTTTAAACTCTATTCTAACCAAGTTATCAAATCTAATAAAAATCTTCCTAGGGAAAATGGAACATTTCAAAAGTATCTTTATTATGTATAGATCTAAACCAGTGTAGAAGTCAGTGAACCTAAAACTTCTGAGAAGATACTATAGTTATCTAAATTATCCATTCTTTTTCCTATTTATGTTTTAAAAATAAAAATTAACTTTTAATTTTTACTTTGACAAGAATAAGCCATTCATTGACCAAACATCTGTATATTTCTCTCTTGTTATTTTGAATAATCTCTCCTTTAATGAAAACTCAGATGTCTAGTGCTTTCTATTGTAGTTCTTCCTCTCCGTAACCAATTTCCTACATTTAATGGAAAGAAGATTGAGAGATTTATTTATGTTTGAAGGATGATGCTTGTTTTTAGGATTTCCTTTCTTTTCCAGTTTTAGGTTTTGGATTTAAAATTATTCATCTAGAGGGAAGGAACTAAGGAAGTTATTGTAACTGTGTCTGTGTTAGTTTCTGCATAGGTTTGGAGGTCATTGCAAGGATTGACTCTCAATTTAAAGTAGATGAGTACCTGGGACTCTAGCTTTTCTTACTCATGGCTTAAGTAACTCAGCCACAGACTGATTTTTGAGTTATTGTTGGTTATATTATTCTGTGTGGGAAATGCAAGATTGAAAAAATATATGAGGAAGTATAAATTCTTGACACTGAGAAATTTTAATCAACATAATACAAACTAAACATTTCAATAAATTGCATTTCTAAAATTTCTTTTGTAACATATACATTTTTAGTTCATATTGGCTTATCAATGTCATAGAATTTCAGAAATTTATTTGAAGAAGTTTTAAGAATACTTTCTAAATAACGTTTTGGTAAAATTTTAAAGATGACGTTGCACCAAATCTCATAATTTGTTTCAATCTAGTGAAAATACAAAACAATGCAATAAGCATTGGCATCGAAAGAAATGGGTTTGTATCCCTACTTTCCAGTGTTGAATAATAGACATCAATTTAAAAACATGTTATGGTTTTAGGATTTCAAACTGTCAGAAGCACTTTTATTTGGTTCAAATAGTTGTATACACTGCCAGCAGGGAGAAAGAACTTCTGAAAGTACTCTAAGATTTTTAGAATTTTGAATAAAGAATTAGCTGCAGAAAGGAAAAATCCATTGAGTTCTTTGCAAGTGATTGCATCTAAGATATTATATTCATTTTCTAGTGCTGTCATAACAAAGTACCACAAACTTAGTGGCTTAAGACAACAGAAATTTATTGTCTCACAGTTCTGGAAGCTAGAAATCCAGAACCAACTTGTCATCAGGGCCATGCTCCCTCTGAAACCTGTAGGGGAGGAGCCTTCCTTGCCTCTTAGCTTCTGGTAGTTTGCTGGCCATCTTTGGTGTTGCTAGGCTTGTAGCCATAGCGTTTCAGTTTCCACCTCCATCATCACATGACACTCTCCCCTTTGTGTCTGTTTTCACACTGTCTTCTCTCCTTATCAGGACACCAGGCACATTTCTATTAAGGACCCATGTACTCTGCTTCATGTAAATTAAATATATCTGCAATGACCGTATTTTCAAATAAAGTCAGATTTGGAGGTACTGGAGTTTAGAATTTCCATACATCCTTCTGGGAGACACAATTCATCTCATAACAGTGATTTATATTAAGTTAATTGTACTACTTAGTAATAAGTAAAGTTTGTAGTCTTTCACTGTGTCCTGTGTTAGGTATGTCTTCACTTTGCATAATTTGCATAGTTCTTCATAAACCTTGACTTCTATCTATATGTAAAGGCTTATGTTTTTGGTGGGTCATGATAGTTTCTATAGTAAAACTGTTGACGAAGAGACTTCTTATATTGATTGAATGGTAAGAAACACAAAATGGGATGTGCTACTTACTGTAGAAAACAGGTGTAATTCAGTGAATCTTTTTTTTTTTTTTTGAGTTGGAGTCTCAGTCTGTTGCCCAGGCTGGAGTGCAGAGTCCAGAGTTGACCTGCTGGACTCTGATGATCCTTCCACCTCAGCCTTCCAAGCAGCCAGAACTGCCGGCGTGTGCTACCATGCCTGGCTAATTTTTATTTATTTACTGTAGAGACTAGGTCTCATCAAGTTGCCTGGGCTCGAACCCATGGGCTCGGGCAATCCAGTCGCCTTGGCCTTCCAATGTGCTGGGATTACAGGCTGAGCCACCGACCTTCTTAATATGATGAATCAGCAGATTGGTTTGTGCCTTGAGGAGTAAATATTTTGTATCAGCTTTCTTATCACCTTTTTAAATAGGATGAATTTATAACATACAGTGATTAAAGTGTCATGGGAAGAGATTTACTTAGTTCCTCTTACATTAGATTGCCTTCTATTTTTAAAAATACCCTTCTGAGATATAGTTGACATATGCTAAATTGTATATTCAGAGTATACAATTATATGATCATTGATACAGGCAGTGCTAAAGCTTTTAGGCTCAGTAGGCATCATGCTAAGGACCCACGATACTATCAGAGGTCCATAAAATGTGTTAATTTCTTTTAAAATTGTAAAAAATGAACTTTTAGGCCAAAGAAAAATTTTTATCTGATATTATTAATATATTCATCTTTATACCAACACAGTTGTAAAATACTGTTTGAATTTTCAGTAAGTTTTGTGGAGGGAGAGGCCTCTGAAGTCAAAGAAGTGCCTGGAGCTCATGAAAATCATAATGTGGTCCTAGACTTATAGCTGAACCCGTGAAGCTGTCACCACAGTCAAGATAAATGAATGTCTCTGTCACCTCCAACAGCTTTATTGTACCCCTTGGTAATTCCTCCCTTGCTTCTTCCTCTTTGGCCTTGGCAATCATGGCTATGCTTTCTGTTATTATAGGTTTATTTGCATGTTTAAGAATGTTATATTAATGGGATCATAATATGTGTACTCTTTTGGGGGGAGAGTTTGCCTTTTTTCATGTATCATGATTATTTTTAAGTTCAATTATGTTCCGTGTTCAGATGTTTATTCCTTTCAATTGCTTAGTAGTATTCACAATTATATAGCTGTACCATACTTTTTTTATTCATTCACCTATTGATGGGCATTTGGTTTTTTTCTAGTTTTTGACCATTATAAAGCTACTATGAATGTTTATGTACAAGACTTTTTGACCTTATTTTTTTTATTTCTGTTGAGTAGATATCTAAGAAGGGAATGGCTAGATCGAAGGTAGCTTTTGAAAAAACTATTTCCATAGCATGCTAATTCTTTCCTTTAGCTAATTGAACATGTCGTACAATTATAATAACTATCTTAATGTTTTCTAACATTTATGTGAATTCTAGATCTGTTTTAATTCGTTTGTTTTCCCTCATCATTATGAGTCTTATTTCCCTGCTTTTTGTATGGCTGATGATTTTTGATTGAGTGCCAGTTATTGTGAATTTCACTTTGTTGGGTGTTGGATATTTTTGAATTTCTATGAATATTCTTGAGGTCAGTTCTGGGTTGCAGTTAAGTTACTTGGAAATAGTTAAGTCTGTTGAAGTCTTTTCTGATTTGTTAGATGGGATCAGAGCAGAGTCTAGGACTGATTGTTCCCTACTACTGAAGCAGCATCTTTCTGAATACTCTGCTTCATGAATTGTGAGGATTTCCAGTCTGATTGGTGGGAACAGACATTGCTTGCAGCCCTGTGCGAGTACTAGACAGTAGTCTCTAGTTCTTTCACATGGTTTTCCCCAGTCTTGGTGGTTACTTCATATGTAGTACTGATCACTACTTGGCTGAGTATTCAAACAGTACCCTCTGAAAATCTCTGAGCTTCTCCTTCTGCACAGCTTTCTTTTGTGTACATTCTGCCCATGAACACCAACCACCTTGGTCTCCCTGGACTGTCCATGTCCTTAATCAGGGGACTTGTATGCTCAACTGAGGAACTGGCCAGCTCCATCTAGGGTTCATTTGTCTGTGCTGTGGCTTGTTGCTTTCTCAATGTATAGTAAGCTGGGCAATTGTGGAATCCACCTCATTTCTTTTTGTCTCTTATAGATTTCTATCCTTCATTGCTTGGTATCCTGTATCTTAAACAGTTGTTCCATTTTGTCCATTTTGAAAAAAGTTATACCTAGTGAGAGAGTTGATACAATTTCTGTTAGTCCATCTAACAGAAAGTTCAGACAGTCTTCTCAAAGGGAGCTGACATTTCTGATTTCATAATTTCCTTTCTCAACAAGAGGTTGATATTATCTATTTTTCATATCATTGAGTTTTTATGTGTCCCTAGGCATGTTAATATTCTAAATCATGTAGTTTCCTTATTCATAAAACATGCCAATTCTGTGGGTTAGGTTGGTTTTAGGAATGAAGCTAGAAAGCACAAATATAAAGCATCTATAATAGCTTCTGGAATTTGTCAGATCTTGCTTAAGTAGTTTTCTGTTTTAGTTTTTATAAGTTGCAGTTTTTTTTTTGAATATCTGTTTAGTTTTGTGTTTAATTTGGACCAGTTTAAAAGCCATCCTTCTGATAGTTTTATAACTTCTTGTACATTTTGTTGCATAACTGTAAAAGTATGGAAAGTTTCTTAATGATGATTCAGTGCAATTTACTTTTAACTCACCATTATCAATACTTCACAGTGTTTTAAGAAAGTTACAGGTATGAATTTATAATATTTTTAAAAGCATCGACTTTGTTTTAGTTTTATAAATGTCATTATAAAGGTTTATGTGGTTGCTTTATTTTTGCCAATAAACCTAAGCTTAACTGTTAAGAACTTCCTCTTAAGGGCTTTTGTTGAACACTTACTCTGTGCATAGTCCTGGAGTATTGTTTCAGGTTTCACTGTAAATTACTACCAGTCTTAAACCTTCTAATCAATTATGCTGTTTGTTTTTAACTGTATCTGGTCATGCTACCCCTTTTTTACTGCGAGTGTTTGCAACTTTTACTTTATTGCCCTAATTGTCTTTTTAATATCTTGAGTAGCTTTGTTCTTAGGTGTGCGCTTTTGTTTCATTATGTTGACTGTAAAATTATCTGCAAAAGAGATAAGTGTGTTTTCTAATTTTATACCCATGAACTTGTTACCGTAGATATCTAGTAGGCATTCAACAAATGCTTAATGGTGAGTGAAATGATTGTTTGATAACATACATAATTTTAATACAAACTAATTATAATTGTTGACATGTGAGTAAAAGGTACCATAGTGTATGCCTTATATTTTTTAAAATATTGAAATTAAATGCCATTTCCTCAGTGTTGGTATATGTACTTTTACAACTGATTAATAGCAGTCAGTTTCACTATGTGTGACTGAGTATTTATGTTCAAAGAAAATATAAGTACCTTCAATTTTCAGGGCAATTCCTTTGTTCTCCAAAGGACAGTAAGAGTTTTTGAGATACTTGGCTCATTATTCACTTTGGTGCCCCATGGCTGAAACATGTTAAGAGTTTTTGAGATACTAGGCTCATTATTCACTTTGGTGCCTCATGGCTGAAACATGTTAAGAGTTCATACTTCTACTTCCCAAACTTCCAATTTCCAAAATATTTTACATTTGCTATGATCTTAAATAGGATTATAGTTTGGTAGAACTGAAATACTTTAACGTCAGAAAGTTACAGTATCTATGGAATTCTGTAGTTGTGAATTTAACTTGCGTTAAAACTTGTTTTTGTTTTAATTTCTTTGTAAGTCAGGGCCTGTGATTCTTAATAGTATGGTTCCTTTGTTAACTCTCTCAGGACCAGGTCCAGGTACTCTAATTTATTTCATTCATCTGACTTATGACAAAAAAATTTAGACATTGCTAACTTTCTTTTTCTTTCTTAAAACTTTTTGGCTACTTATCTATTGATATTTCAGCCTTCCTCATATCCAGTTTTGAGCTAAATATAGATGCATACAGAAAAACACCATATGTAATTAACTATAACAAGAATAAGTTTGGGATTAGATAATAGAATAATTACTTGTATGAAAAGATTGTATTAATTTACTATTGTAGATTAATTTTACTAGTTTTGTTGTTGTTTGTGTTTTCTTGTTGTGTTGACAGGGTTGCTTTAGACACTCTTGCTGCATTGCTAAAATCAAGTAAGTTTTTAAATACTAGAAATACTAGATACTATTTTTATGGGAATTCTATTTACCGTGTTAAATAAACTGGAAATATAGATTTAATCTATAGTTATAAAAGCTGGTTTACAATTTAATGTTAGGATTAATTTTACCTTTTAGTGCAGTTGACAAACATCATAACTAATGCCATATGATGTTTATTGAACTGTAATTTATTCAGTACATTTATATAATTTAATCAAGCACACTATTTCCCATTTCTAAGTTGCTTATGCAAACATAGAGTCCATCAATAGAGGAAAACATATAGGTATTACTTTTTGAATGTCAAGCTAACATGGTATTGAGATTTTTTACTGTGAGAAATATATTTAACAACTACTGTCTCTGATTTTAACTTAGAACTTTATTAGTAGAAATTTTGTTTCTACCAATAAAGTTAAATTTATAACATTTAGAAAAAGTGACTATTAGTATAAATTTACAGTCTAGTACATAGATTTACAAAATAAAGCACTGTTTTCTTTATCTTCACAATTAAAGCAGTAGAGTAGATACATCTTATGATATGATGCTTTATTTGTATATTGTTTTCTCTCCAAGCTACTCAGTATATTTATCTAAATATATATTTTTTAGTACTCTAGTGGCCAGTTGGTAACCACGCTAAGATTTAATCTTAAAGATTTGTCTTAAATTAAGATAATATGTCCCCCTCCCTCACTCCCCAAAGGGAAATATAGTTAGCAGGTAGTTCAATAGAAACTGTTAAGGATGAGACCAACTTGCCCTTAGTTTGAATTACTAGAATTGTTTTTTTGAATAGTGACATGATTAATTGATAGTATTTGGTAATGACTTATTAAATTTTAAAACTCACCTTTGGTATTAGTATTATATTATAGAACAGAATTTTCATTTAACAGTTTTATTTTTCAAGTGAATTGTATGGTACTCAGATTAGTTTTGTATCTTTATTTTCATATGTTATGAAAAGCTTTGTAGCCTTGTTTTGATGGGCTCTGACTTTGTGGTTCAAACTGTATAATGATTGGTTCTTAATACGAGCATATACTTTTGATTTGGAGTGGGTTAGAATAGCTATTGAAACTAAATTCTTGGTCAGGTGTGGTGGCTCATGCCTAGAATTCCAGTGCTTTTTTGGGAGGTTGTGGGGAGAGGATTGCTTGAGCCTAGTTTGAGACCAGCCTGGGTAACATAGCAAGACCCTGTCTCTATAAAATGAAAAACAAAAAAAACCCTACACTTTTATTAAATCTTACTAATTTTCAGAATCACCAGTGGCAAAGTCAGTAATTCTAAGTTAGTACAAGCTAAAATTCTTTTACGTTTCAAGGATTTTGTAGAAATCAGTTGACTCAAGATGACTGCAATCTGATTTTTCAGTTTTAAGTAGTAGTCTTTTTTAAATTCATTTTTTTTAAAGGAAGGTAGTTTACTCCATCAGAAAAATAAAAAAGTGACAAGTAGAATGACTGTAGTTAATATTTAATATATTTTAAAATGATACATGGTACTACATAGGATGAAAATTTAATAATACAAAGTAGTATTTAGTAGCACACTGCATATTTTTAAACCAACCATGGAATTTTGAAGCATTCTCATTTTTTTTTTTTAATTCCTTAATTTTTTTTTCGGGGTGGAGGAGGTGAGGCAGTTATTTACTTTAAAAGGATAGCTTAGGCTAGGCGCAGTGGCTCCCACCTAAAATACCAGCACTCTAGGAGTCTTAGGCAGGAGGATTGCTTGAGGCCAGGAGTTTGAGACCAGCCTGGGCAACATAGTGAGACACCCTCTCTAAAAATAAATAAATAAATAAAAATTAAAAAGGATAAATTAGACTACTAAAATAGTTGTGGGAGAGTATAGTGTAAAGAATATGTGTCTACATACAGTCCAGAAAGATAGTCAACTCAGCTACCATTGCTGGAGTATAGATTAGACACTGCAATGTCAAGGCAAATGTAAGCTGTCATTTAATTAGAGAAAGAAGAGAAATAAATGATGGGAAGTGTTGGCCCTGAACACATGAATAAAAATCCTTTTACTAATGTTTTAAGTGCAGATTGCGGATTTCTTCCTTTAAGGATCACCCAGTACCTGTGTTTGAGTTATGTACATGTTTCTTATTTGATCTTTCATAAGTAATTTTAATATTTCTTGTAAATATCATTTAGGCTATTGGGAATTCTGGTGGATATTCACAAAGCTTGTAATAGGAATTAACAATGATCATAATGAATTTTAGCAAAATAATATTCACAGTTCATAAGCTAACGGCTTAAATATTCCAGTTGGTATAAAGAAAGTGTATATTCATTTAAAATGGATGAAACTTTTGTTGGTCAAAACAATTGAATGATTTTGTAAAATAGCCACAACCTTAGCAAATTAGCTATTATAGACACAATAGAGATTTTAAAGCTTTTGCATAAGAAAACTTTTTCCCCTGGTAAATTCCTTCTGCCTTTCTAATGCCAGAACATTGTTCTGAGAGGGAATTAATAAATTCATCTCAGTGTTACATTTTAGGTATATATTAGCACATTTGGAATCTAATAAATCAGGCAACTAAAATCAGTGGAGCCTTATTATTGCATTATCTTGTGTCCATGTCCTGAACCAGAGGATTATTTTATAGGTAAACTGGAGATTAACAAGAGATTAGTATTTCATTGTAATTAAACAACCTCAGCTGGGTTGGTATTTTAGTTTTGCACTCCTTACAGTCAACCCGCAGAAGTAGTGTTGGGTGACTTAGTGTGCTGTGCTAACATGATTTACCACTGTCTTAGTAATATGTGTTCTTTTGGTTAATAGTCTTAAATATTAGGCCGGGCACAGTGGTTGAAGCCTGTAATCCCAGCACTTTGGGAGGCCGAGGTGAGAGGATTGCCTGAACTCAGGGGTTTGAGACCAGCCTGAGTGATATGGCGAGACCTCGTCTCTACAATAAATCAAAAAATTAGCTGAGTGTGGTAGCACATGCGTGTGGTTCCAGTTACCTGGAAGACTGAGGTGGAAGGATTGCCTGAGCCCAGCAGGTCGTGGCTATGGTGGCCTTGAGCAGCATGCCACTGCACTCCAGCCTGGGTGGCAGAGTGAGACTTCAACCCCCCCAGCAAAAAAAATCTTAAGTATTAATACTTTAAAAATAGTTCAGATTTTTAATTTTTTTTATCTTAACCCTACTCTGATAAAATACTTTAAAAATAGTTCAGATTTTTAATTTTTTTTATCTTAACCCTACTCTGATAAAATTGACCATTTACTCAAAATTTCAATGTAGTTTTCATTACAGTAAAGACAATTAAAATTAAGTAAAGCTAACAATTGACTCGAAAGATAAAAAAACTCTATTTTGTAATCATGTAATGCTTCTTATATTTCATTTGCTAAAAAAGCTGTATAAATATTTTTTAACTTATCATTGTTATAACATGAACATTTATGTCCTTGTAGGGTAATTAAAGCAATTAATTTTAGTGGAAACATAAAGTTTGCAGGAGGAGCTATAATTTATGAGGGCTAATTTTAGGGAAAACACAAATTTTGTAACAAGTTACAAAAATGATAACTGACTTTTGTCAAAATCGTGTTCACAACTAGTAATTAAAGGTTATATAGTCGGTTTGGTATAATTAAAGTCAATATGTTCGTAAATTTTAAAATACATAAAACTTTTGTTAGTAAAGAAAAGCATTTAAAAAGATGTAGCTCTAAATTTATTAAAGACATTTTAATATTTGTTAATTTTGAAACAATATATGGGCAGGCTTTTGGAAATTGTTATGATTTGCTCTTGGAACTTGTCATGTTTATTTTGTTAAAAAAATTTTAAATAGGTGTTTGTCATTTAAAAAAATTATAAGAATTTATCACAATATTGAGGATCTATTTTAAATTTTATTTATTCTGCCACTTTCTCTTGTCATTTTAAAGATATTTTTTCTCACTTTTCTTTTGTTAAAGAAACAAATGCCAGGAGAGCTGTAGACAGAGGATATGTCCAAGTGCTTTTAACAATTTATGTAGATTGGCACCGCCATGATAATCGGCATAGAAACATGCTCATTCGGAAAGGAATTTTACAGAGTTTAAAAAGTGTTACAAACATTAAATTGGGAAGAAAAGCGTTTATTGATGCCAATGGGATGAAAATTCTGTATAACACTTCGCAAGTGAGTTATTTTCTTCCTATTCTGATTATATACTAATGATATGATTTGGTTCTTCAGAAAACTGAATTAGTGTGCAAATATTCAGAAAAGTATACATATGATAAATATATTTTTATGATAAATGTATTTTTTGAAAATGTTAAAATGAAGAGGCTAATCATTTCTCACATGTGACCTCAGATTGAGTCAGAGAAAATGGTCATTGAGCATCTCTGCAGTGTGAGATTCTTTTAAAGGTAAAAGGAAGATTTATAAATCCATCCATTGAGCAGACATTGAGCAGACAGTGATTCCATATAGCTGTGTTTTCTAGGATGTGTAATAGACTGTACACAGTTTTATTTCCTCTCCTTGTGATATATCTGTGGCTTCTTTACAGCTGGTAGGATGTTTCTCTTGTCTTTAAGTGTCCTGCATGTTTTTCTGCTGGACAGAGCCTTTTTAAAATAGAGAAGGTTCAAGAATGAAACCTGGGACTAAGAATGCTAGGTCTGCCAGCCATCTTAAGCGTAAACATTTGTGACAATTATGTTCAAGGGTTCCTTTCTAGCATCCATAGAAGACTGTCAGCCATGAGGATATTTTTAGAAGGCTGTAATTATTAGAAAGAAATCTGTTGACCGGGCTCGGTGGCTCAGCCTATAATCCTAGAGCTTTGGGAGGCCGAGGTGAGTGGATTGCCTGAACCCGCGGGTTCGAGACCCACCTGGGCAACTTGGTGAGACCTTATCTCTACAATAAATCAAAAATTAGCCGGGCGTGGTAGGTGTGTCTGTAGTTCCAGCTACTTGGAAGGCTGAGGTGGAAGGATTGCTGGAGTCCAGCAGGTGGAGGCTGCAGTGGCCAGGAGCGGCCACTGCACTCCAGTCTGGGTGACAGAGTGAGACTCCAACTCAAAAAAAAAAAGAAAAAGAAAGAAATCTGTCTTTTTGAAAATATCAGCCAGTTATCTTGGTTGTTCCCTCTTGGGTTGCACATGACAAACATAATCTATGTCTATATGACGGTAGTTAAGATAGCTGAACACATATTTTATGTTTACCTTTAATTTTTTCTTTTCTAGATTAATCACGTGCATTTGTTTTTACTAGTCCTAGTATAGGTAATGATGGATATTTGATATATGAGGAAGAGTTAGATGACTTTGTTAATGCTGCTTACATTTCTGAGCCTTAATTTCTCATCTATTTTGACAGATCAGATATAAAAATGTGTATGGAGATTTTTGCAGTGTATTAAGGTGTCATCTAAACGTCAATTGTTACTAATTATATGGCTGTATGACAGTTTCAAATCCCCTGTCCCTCAGCCCTTCTCAAGATTAGATACCAGGACATCAAATCAAACTCTTAAAACTTTGAATGTGATATTTAGGCTATCCTTTTGAGTAGCCAATTTATAAGAGGTGCCATTACATGATAACTGATATAGTCCTGAGAAAGGTGGTCAAGTGCACTTTTGTTTTTATTTCTTACATCTTTTAAAATTTCTTACTCCCTTTTCCCCTTATTCTCTTAAATTTTATTTAAAAAAATGTTTCCCTAAGCTTGCCAATTGTCCCCTAAGTCACTCCAAAGATGGTATTGATTTCTGCTTAGTTAAAACATTTAAGGAAAAGTCCTACTCAATATGCCACATGAGGTTCTTACAATTAGGTACTTCTGACTTGTTGTAAATACGAGGTTTTGCTATGTTGCCCAGGCTGGTCTCAAACCCCTGAGCTCAGGCAGTCTGCTTACCTCGGCTTTCCAGAGTGCTGGGATTATAGGCATGAGCCCCCGCACCCAGCTGCAAATAGATACTTCTGAACAGTAAAGCTATTTACAGTTATCCTATGTTAAAATATTGTTTTTTTAAATATTTGTTTTTAGAAAATTATGAATGTTATTACTTTCTGAAGTAATGTGAAATTGGTTCAGAAGACAAATCTTTTTTTCCCTAACAGGAATGTTTGGCCGTCAGGACTCTTGATCCTCTTGTCAATACTTCTAGTCTGATCATGAGGAAGTGTTTCCCGAAAAATCGTCTGCCACTTCCAACGATTAAAAGTTCTTTCCATTTCCAGTTGCCTGTCATTCCTGTCACTGGTCCGGTGGCTCAGCTGTACAGCTTACCCCCTGAAGGTAGGACCACAGGGTCGCTGCTGCCTTTCGTCAGCTTTTAGAATTATGTGACTGTCAACCTTTTTTTAAACTTGTGTTAAAAAACTTCTCAGCAAAAGAAAGCCTTAATGAACATGAGAAACCTTTCATATGTTATTTTAGCTAAGTATTTCCTTAAATAAAAGAAATTGGAGCCTAGTGATTAAGGGAAATAGTGTGGGATATGTTGTGTATATGTTAATGTGAATTGTACAGTAATTAAGCTTCACGAAGGACCATTACTTGATAACATATGCATTTTCAAAATATAAAAATATACACGTTAAATGCTTAGATAATTGTATTTGGGTTTACATTTGTGGCTTTTTAGTGAATTTTTTCTTAAGTTAAAAAAACCTAATCACCAAAATTGCTATGGTTTTATGCTTAACAAAAACTTGCACATGACTTAACTTGGATGAAAATATGAAATTATTGGAGGTAAGCTCTTTGTCATTTTCTGTATAATACTGCTGGTATACAGTAAAGGAAGTAAGAGTTTAATCTTCCTTATGTGGGGAGAAATAATTTTTTTGTTAAGATTTAGCAAAGTGGAAAAGAGAAAGGCTTGGCTATTAATAGAATTTCTAAAGTATTTTCTTATCAGTTGGTCATTTTTGAACAAAAAGGAGGGTTCTTTATGTATAAAAATTTTTACACAAAGTAAGTGTTTTAAAAGAATTTTCTAATAATCATAATTAACTTGTTATTCTTGACATAAATTTGTTAAAATTATATGTCATAGGATACACTATTATAATTTAATTTTTAAAATATTTAATTATTAAAACTCAAGTTTACTTAACACAAAATATCAAATGGATTATTCAGAAACGTTCCTTAAAATTTTTAAAAGCCTAAGACTAAGTCTAGGTCTTATGAGTAAGATAGCTAACTAAAACAAAAGTCTAAGTCCTTCTTTCCATTCCATTTGAAATTACCAACAGATTTTTAAAGTAGGGAAAAATCTGTACCAAGTCTGAAAACTAGGTAAGAGGGGCATCCTCGTGGAACAAACATAGAACATGCAACAAATGCGGTAGAGATATAAGTAGATTTAGGAAGAGTATCACATCTCTATTCCCTCTTCTGAGAATGCCATGTCTTTGGTTCCAAGATTAGGTGCCATTACCATGTAATTTGGGGGACAATCAAGAAGCAGTTAGACTCCCTTTCTCTTCTATATCTCAGCATAGGATTATGGGAGTGGTAAGTGGTGGTTCTAACTGGTATTAAGCTGGTAAGGCTTCTCTATAATCTGGCAGGTAGAAATACCAGGAGGGAGGCAGGATATGCCTCACAGTGTTCTTTAGTTCATGTCTGGATTGATGGACAGAGAATGCTCACCTCTAGTGCAGTGAATTCACCAAATATAGGAAGAAATGGGAGGTGACATTTTTCTGCTGGATCCTTTTCTGCCTGCTTCTTATACTTACCACCAAACCAGAAATGCAGATTTACATCAACTCACAAGCCTTCATGATTAAGATGTGGAAGGACAATTCTAATAGCTCCTAAGGAGCAGGAGCCACAGGCCCACGCCACTGCACCCAGCTTTGTTTCTCACTGTTATTTCACATATCATGCTTTGTTGCGTATATCAGTCTTTGTTATTTTTTGCCTTCCTCAGCTAGAATATAGGTTCACAAAGGTAGGTCTGAGCTATTTTACTCACAACTTTTCTGACACCAAATATTTGTCTTTTTTCCTTATACCAACCAATTCTCTAGTTTTCCAGACCTCAGCCAGGTGTTCTACAGTTCGATTTAGTTCTGACACTACCTAGCGGTAGTGCAGGCACACAGGTTTAGAAATCAGTCCCACAAGACTGCCCCCACTTCAGACACCAGTTACAAGTTCATGCCGCATTGTATTTCTGACTGACTGGATATAAAGTTGTTGGGAGGGTTCCTATAACCCCCTCTTCAAGGTTAATAATTTGCTAGAATGACTTTGCAGAACTCAGGAACACTCTAAACTCCATTTATTGTAGAGGATACAACTTAGGGACAGCCAAATGGAATAGTTTTGTAGGGCCAGGTATGAGAGAAGAGCTGTGGAGCTTCCATGCCCTCTCCAGGCATGCTACCCTCCTAGCATCTTGAAGTGACCACCAATCCAGAAGTGCTCTGAGCTTCTGAACCATCATTTAGGGTTTTTATGTAGGTTCCATTGTATAGGCATAATTGATTTAAAAGGCTACTTGGAAGACTGAGGCGGAAGGATTGCCGGAGCCCAGCAGGTCGAGGCTACAGTGGCTGGGAGCGGCCACTGCACTCCAGTCTGAGTGACAGAGTGAGACTCCAACTCAAAAATTTAAAAAAAGGCTATCTTTGATTAAATTAATCACCAACCCCTCCCGCTTCCCTACAGGTTGAGGTGTGGGACTGAAGTTCCAACCCTCCAATCTTGCCTTGGTTTTTCTAGTGACCAGTCTCCATCCTGAAGCTGTCAAGGAACCCACCAAGAATGTCACCTCATTAGAACAAAAGATGCTCTGTCACCTAGGAAATTTTGAGAGATTAGGAGCTGGTACACACCAGGAACTGGGAACAAAGATCAAATATATGTTTATCATAATAGGACTATTGTTTTTTTCTTCATTTTATCTTCAGCATCCATTAGATTGCATAGGACATAAGTGTGCATTTAATATTTGTTGAATGAATGAATTGAGCTGGTCTCAAGGTTTATTCTCTTAAATGTTAAATGCCAGAAGATAGTGAAGCAGCGTCTATGGAGATTTGAAGGAAAAGGGTTCTGACTCAAGATTTCTGAACCTTTATCAGTTGCCATCATAAGTGAATGTCTCATATTCTTAGATATGTAAGTGTACAGAAGTATGTTATTTAGTTACCCTTCCTGAAGTAATTATGTGAAATATTACTGCAGCTAGTCAGGTGATAAATTGAAGATGCAGAGAATGCAGAAGTCACAGAAGAATGTTTGGATTAAACATTACAACCTGTTAACTATATAATACTAAATAGTTGCTGTGCTATTATTATGAAACATGCCAAGTAATTCCTGGCAAAAGACACATAATTTACAGTTATCATAAAATTGATATTTTACATAAGTAAACTAAAATTTATATTGGTAGATTTCCTAATATTATACTATTCTTGAATTTCTAAAATGAAAATTATAGGAATAATGGTCCAAATATATATTTTCAAATATGGAAGTAATGTGTAGAACAGAGTCTTATACTGGGATCCATTGAACATAGGAATACGTGGATGGGCCTCAGAGACTATGCACCATTTGAAATTCGATGTAAAATTATGTATGCTTTGTTTCCCTCTGGAAAACATTTTTGGACGGATCTATCACTGCTGTGTAAAAGCAAGGAAATTTCAAAAATGCACAAAATCCTGAGAGCGCTAAATACCAAGCCAAGAACAAGTGATCAATTTTAATGAGAAATATAAATGGATAAAATAATCCTATTAAAGGAAAGAAACTCTCAGAGTGGGCTGAAAAGTAAAATCTAACTAGCTGATACATACTGGAAACTCTAAAAACAGCAGGATAGATAGCTTGGAAGTATACAGATTGGCAAAAATGCTTATGTTATTCCCAGCCCAAAAGAGGTGAGGAAGATAGTATTATTACTATACAAAATGTATACAGAATAAAAAATTGTTTAAAACAAGGTAGTGAAGATGAAGATTATTTTATACACGACAGTTAACACATGTACCAAATAACAGGGCAAATATAGATAAAACTAGTCATTCGAATAACAAGGAGAAATTGAAATAGAAAACTGTTTGTGGGTGATTTTAATATACCTCTAAATTCTTGGCAAAATAAATAGAGGTGGTTAAATCATTCTAAGTGGATGCTAAAGATAACTCCTGGTAATATATTTGAATATACAGTTGATTCTTGGACAATTTGGGGACTTAGGGGTATCAACTTCCTGTGCAGTCAGAATCCATGTATACCTATTGACTCCCCCAAACTTAATTACTAATTATCTATTGTTGACCAGAACCCTTACTAATAACATAAACAGTTGATTAATACACATTTTATTTGTTATGTGTATTATGTACTCTATAATAAAGTTAGCCAGAGAAAAGACAATGCTATTAAGGAAATCATAAGGAAGAGAAAATATATTTACTATTCATTAAGTGCAAGTTGATCATCATAAAGGTCTTTATCTTTGTTATCTTCACATTGGGTAGGCCTAGGAGGAGGAGGAAGAGGAGGGATTGGTCTTACCACAAGGAAGGGTGACAGAGGCAGAAGAAAATCTGTGTGTAAGTGAACCTTTACGGTTCAAGCTCATGTTGTTCAAGGGCCAGCTGTCATTAAAATGGACAATATTTCAGAAAAATATGAATAACTCAAATGGACATAAATAATAAAAACCCTGAAATTAAATATGTGATCAAGTTTCTTCAGGGAGTTCAGCAAATGCTGATGACTTCATAGATTAGTTCTCTTAACTTTCAATAACCTTTTCTATGCTTTATTTTCCAGAGCATAGAAAGAAAGGAAAGTTCAGAAGCTAGCATTATCTGAAAGCAAAACTTCTAAGAGTAGCCTAAAACAACCTACAGATCGCTGTCACTCATGAAAATAAATCCAAAAATTCTAAAATATTAGCAAAGAATTGAGCAGTATTTTTTATGTATAAGACATCTTGACCGAGTGAGGATTCTTTTTTAAATTTTTTTTATTTTTTTTTGTTTTTGAGGATTCTTTTTAAGAAAGTAAGCTCGCTATAATATTAAGACTTTAATTACGAAAATGTATTATCGGTATGTCAGAAAAAACCAGATGATTAGCTCAGTAAGTGTCATGAAGAAATTTCATAAAAATCATATTAGTTCTAGATAAAATTTCTTCAGGAAACCAGGAATATTTCCTGAACAAGCTAAGTATTATGCAGATCAGTAGCTGCCATCATAAGTGGTAATGAAATGTTTAGAGGATGCCCCTCTCAGCCATTATTATTTAACATCGCTTTGAAAGCTCTAGCTAAATCCAGTTAAGACAAAGAAAAGAAGGTCTTAACCGTTCAAAGAGCGAGATAAATGTATCAATATCTGGAGAATATTATTGTCTATATAGAAAAGTCAAGCCAATCATTTGTAAAACATGGCTTAGACAATAGAAAGGTTACATAAAATACACGTTACAAGAAAAGTAAGTTCAGTAGCTTTCTTGTGTGTGTCTATGTATGTATCAATAAAAACTATTAGAAAACATAAAGGGAAATTAGATCACATTTTCAGGAGCAATAGCAATCACAAAATAATCCCCTTGGAATATACTTTCCAAATCCTTACAGAAAGTACTAACTCATTCCTTTCATTGGCTAAGTCTTAAAGATGTAGTATAATTTACCTAACTAGTTTTCTACTGATAGACATTTAAATTGTTTCCTGTATTTGTTTTTACTATAAATGAGTCAAGGATATTTTGAAAACTGATAGGAATTTTGATTTATATTCTCTGGTTTTAATTGTATGATTAGCTGTAATAATATTAATTATTGATAATGATATGATGAATAGATCTTTAAAATAGAAAAGAAGGTCTCAGATACTCTAGGCTGTATGGCATTTTACACCTGGAGTATAAACCCAAAGGAAAATGTCATATAAAGGAAAATATTTGAAAGATTTGACTAAAAATTAAAAATGTATTTTCTGTCTGACACTGAACTGTTTTCCTTCTTCCTTATCTAAGTAGTCATTTTTCCTGTTTGCAATAGGCTTTTCTGAATTCAATTTCTTTTTTGCTGAAAGTTATTTTTTTCTTTCTCTGTTTCCAAATGTCAGTTCTTCCTCTTGTTTATCCATGACTAACAACTGTTAGGGCGCATCAGCATAAAGAGACCTAGGGTAACATATGAAATATGAATATTTATTTTTGCTGTCTGATTCCAAGAAGGATTTGAGGCAATTTGGTACCTGTATAAGTTAGGAGTGACTCAGCTGCTGTCACAAAGAGATCCAGAAGCACAGTCACTCAAGCAACAACAATAATAAACATTTGTATAACACATACTCTTTGCCCTGCACCTTACATAATGCTCACAAGAGCACTATGAGTAGGTATCTCCATTTTATGGATGAGGAAACTCCTGCAACTTGCTCCAGGTTAGATAGCAAGTAGCAAGCTAGGATTTGGGTTCAGGTATTCTGTTTCCAGAGTTCCTTTGCTACACAGAAGATAGAGAGGTAATCCTAGGCAGTTGCTACACAGAAGATAGACAGGTGAGGCAGTAGACCTCTGTTTTACTGGGTCCTTGAAGGAAACAGGTTTTTATTTTGTTTTTAACATTCTCCTGTGGTGGTTTCCTTATGTGCATGTGGAAAATGGGACTGAAAGAAAATAAGAGGGCTTTTTTTTTGTTTAGAACATGATCTGGTATTTATGTTTGTCACTTTGTCTCATATACCACTGACCAAAAATTGGTCATATATATGGATATGACTACTGCAATGGAGGCTAGAAGCCCTATGGTTAAAACTCAGGGATTCAGTTACTAAAAGGAAGGACAGGAAAACAGGTAGTCGGGGAGGGCCAGTTAGTAGTCATTGCTATAAGCCACATTGGAAGTTTAAGTCATAAAAAGTTTGGAAAAATCTCTTTTAAAAATATTTTCTACTTGGTTTAAAAGCACTGTTCCTTACATGAGAAGTCTCAAAGTGCTCTTCTGCTCTTACTCCCTTGTCTCCCTCACATCCCTGGTCCCATGTCCTTTTAAATTCTACTCCCTCATTTTTAAAAATAATCATCCCTGTTATTGCTATATTGGTCTGGACAGTTACTGGCTTTTTTCCCTATTAATTAGTCTCCCTCCACCCATATACTGCCTTCCTCACATCTGTCAGAGTGATCTTTTGAAAATCTAAGTTGGGTTAAGCCATTCTCCTCTTGAAAGTCCTCAGTGCTTACTTTCTGTAGGTTAAAAGTTGAAACTACTTGGCCTACTATGCTACATCCTTCATTTTTTCATTCTTATTTGCCTTCACTACTTTCCCAAGCATGCTGTGTATCCTAGTCATGCTTAACTTCCTATTATTTTCCAGAGGTGTCATCTCGCTTTCTTATTTTAGCATCATTTCCTCTTCTTAACGCCACACACACCCACCATTATATTCACGTAGAAATCGGTTATGGTTTCTTCAAGATAATTGCTTAAGTATCACCTGTTCAGTAAAGTGATCAGTTATTAATTCCTTGGCCCCAGGCATTTTGCAGTGAGTTATTGTATTTCTGGTTTTCCCATAGCATTTTGAAGTTTATGCTTTCATAAGTGTTTGTCTAACATAGTGTAATTACTTGTTACTCCATTCTGCTCTTTAACCTTCTGAGCTTTCTAAGGGCAGGGAATATATGTACACACACACACACACACACACACACACACACACACACACACACATCTTTAAAAACAATTAGTAGCACACAGCACGGTGGATGGCACATGATAGTAATTGAAACAAGTAAAAGGGAGGGGACTTGTAGAGGAATTAAGTGAGTCACTGAAATCATAAATAATAAACAAGATGTTTCATTCAAGTTGTTGCAACATAAGACATTATTAATTTTTTAATTAAAAAGATCATTCATTTTTAAAGTTCTTTGCAAATTTTAAAACACTGTTACATATTATCTTACAGCTTTTCAACAGCTGGGATAGCCTTAGAAATGTTTTGAATAAGAGATCTCCTTTAGTTTTTCTTTGGTTATTGAAATACCTTATATGTATATATATATGTATGTGTGTATATATGTAACATTTTACCTGTGGGTGTGCATGTTGTAGAATGCTTACCTCTGACCTACTGATAGCATGTTTTGTATCATAGTGGATGATGTAGTAGATGAAAGTGATGACAACGATGACATTGATCTAGAAGCTGAAAATGAAACTGAGAATGAAGATGACCTAGATCAAAATTTTAAGGTTAGTATAAATTTCTATCATCAGTCAATTCTAAAAATTAGATATTACATTGGGAATATTAGGGGTGTGTGTGTGTATATGATTTTCAGGTATAAATATAGAAAATCCAACATCTTAACTGATTTCAATAAAGTTTTTCCCCCTTAGACCCATAATCACTGTTTTTATTCTGCCTTTTGTTTCTAAAAAATGAAACTGGCATTGCTTTTCTGAGTGACATTGGATAATTATGTCGATGATCTGAGCTGCTGTTGCTTATCTGTAAAATGAGATTAGATGGACTAACTTTAATTTTTTAAATTTTATATATAATATTAGATTAATTTGTTTTGGCTACATCTTTTTATGAAGGGTGACTATGCAAATAAAAGGCTAAAAAATGTTGCTTTAAATCTAGTGGTCTGAAAAGGGCCTTAAAATAACTTATTTTCACTCTCTTTGATGAGAAAGATTTCATCTAACATTTTTGACTTAGATTTTAAAATCTAAGGAAACGAAGGAAAGTGATCTGAGACTTCACTATTGTGGCATATTCTTTTAAAATGTATTATCCTTTGTCAAGAACATAGTCTATAACTGATGTGTTTTTGGGAGAATTAGTGTTTACATATGATTCTTAGGTTTCAGTTCATTGGACGTGGAAGTGGACAAAAGTGTTTATGTAATTGAGAAAATATAAAATTATCGTCATGTTACAAGAGAAAAAGAGGCAGGAGAGTTTTCAGAATTTCATTGCATCTCTGGAAGCCTACAAACTCTACATTTTACTTTATTTAGTGGTAGAGACGGCTACACTTTAGCATCTGTAGAAAAGTGGTCTTCCTCATTTGTCAACTATTTAGCTGATTGCTAGATTTTTTTTGGAGGAACATGGGCATCATTCCTGGTGGTGTTCCTCTTACTCTTTCCCCTCCCCTGCAAACAGGGATAACTGTGGCACTGAACTTTTCGAAGAGAACTTTATTTCTCATGGACTATAAGGGTACGTGATAATCATTAACCTGTATTGAAGCAGTGTATCATTCTAGCTGGCAGTGTGTGCCTCAAGATCACTCTGGTTTTCCTTTTGGCTCCTCTCTAAGCAAGATGTGTAATTTTGAACAAGCTACTTAAATTCTCTGTACCTCATTTCCTCCTCCAGATGAATGGGAATAATGATACTATCTATTTCACAGTGTTCTTATGCAGATTATATTAGATAATATATATAAAATGCTTAGCATTTGAAAATCATATGTTTTCAGTACTCATTAAATGTTAGCTATTTTGATGGTCGCCACCATCATCATATGTGTATGTGTATGTATACATATATTTTCAATTTAGTTTTAAGTTTTACTGCCCTTTAATATGAGCAGAATGATGGCAGTTAGGGAGATTGAGGAAACTACTCTAGTCTTGATCTTGTCACAGGTTTTTCTGCCTTGAGGAGCTCAAATACTCTTTTATATTTGAATAACCACGATAAAAAGAAAACCAAAAAACCAACAATAGCACAACAATCCCAATAAAAGACAAATTTGAATTTAAGATAAAATTAATGCAGTATTTATTCAGCAGTTATCCTCTAATTCTAGGTAATTAATAGCTTGGAATATTTTAAATCTAAAACATAGTGTGTAATTTTTTTGTTATAACTAGTAACATGCTATTTTTATTATTTCAGAATGATGATATTGAAACAGATATTAACAAACTGAAACCCAAGCAAGAACCAGGACGAACAATAGAAGAACTAAAAATGTATGAACACCTTTTCCCTGAGCTTGTTGATGATTTTCAGGTATAAATACAGAAAATTCAGCATCTTAACTGAGTTTAATAAAGTTTTTCCCTCCCTAGGCCCATAATCACTATTTTTATTCTGTCTTTTGTTTCTAAAAAATGAAACTAGTGTTGCTTTTTTGAGTGACATTGGATAATTATGTCAACGTTCTGAGCTGCTACTGCTTATCTGTAAAATGAGAGGAGATGAACTTTTTAATTTTTTGTCATTTTCATTTTTTTGTCACTTTTAATTGACAGTTTTTTACTCTTTTTTGTATATTCTTTAAAATGACATTTGAAAATCTTGTTATAGTCTTCCTTGTATCAGTTGTTTTCAACTAACGAGAGGTAAGAACTAAGTGCTGAATTAAAAATATAATTTATGCATGTTAAATTATTTTTCCCCTTGATATTTCACTGTATAATTGTGATAGAGGAAGGAGGGAGGAACCAGAGGAGGACAATTTGAAGTCTTTAAGTTGATTTATAAGAAGAGTGAGTTTTTATTAACATTTGTTATCCTTGTACGTTTACTGGACTATAATTATTTTGCCTGAATTATGAACCAAAGTAGTTGATTGAATTGTTGACAATTAGTAGATCTAGTTTCATTCTTTTTTTTTTGCATTGGAATCTCACTCTGTCGCCCAGGCTGGAGGGTAGTGGCACACTCAAAGCCACCCCAGCGTCCACCTGCTGAGCTCAGGCAATCCTTCTGCCTTAGCCTTCTAAGTAGCCAGAACTACAGGCGCACTGCCATGCCCAGCTAATTTTTTATTTATTGTAGAGATGAAGTCTCGCCAAGTTGCCCCGGCTGGTCTTGAACCCGAGGGCTCAGGCAATCCACTCGCCTTGACTTCCCAAAGTGCTGGGATTACAGGCTGAGCCACCGAGCCTGTCCAGATCTAATTTTTTGTTCTCAGTCTGTTGCTGACTTGTGATAGGTCCTTGAATATGTCTCTGAAAATGCCCAGGATTTTAAAGTGTCAAAGATTCTGAACTAGATAATCTGTAATACTTGTTTAACTTTTACTGCAAACCCTTTTGTGACCCAGGTTTCATATGCTTACTTTCTAATTGCTTAAATAAAAAGACTTTATTGTGGGGTTATAGGTGAGAAATTTAGAAAAAGAGAAATATTTGGCAACTAGTATTTACATTTCACAGATCTAACTATTCAGCTTTCTCTTTAGGAACTTTAGAGCCTTGGATGCAGTAGAAGACCCAGTTATTCCCATGCCTCCTACCCTGGTGTGTTGGTATTCCCCCTAGATTTGAGGTACATGGAAGGTACTTTGAAATCAGGGGTAATAAAAGGAGGGAAGGGATGGAGAAGAAGGTATCTGTCCAAAAAAAGATAGAAAGAAAGGAAGAAAGAAAGAAAAATATAAGAAGGCAGGATGAGGCATTTGAAAAAGAGTACAGGTTGATATTTGATTTTTGTCCCCCCATCTTGTAGCAGTTACCCGGTTGCTCTTTTAATACGATTGTGCCCAGCTAAGAACCACTTGAAAATAAAGCCTCAGAAATAACAAATAATGCAGAAAAGTACTGAGAAGGGGATTGTTGTAGGAAGAAAACATCCATTCTTCTGTGCATTGTTCTCTCTTTTTTTTTTTTTGAGTTGGAGTCTCACTCTGTCACCCAGACTGGAGTGCAGAGACCGCTCCCGGCCACCGCAGCCTCGACCTGCTGGGCTCCGGCGATGCTTCCGCCTCAGCCTTCCGAGTAGCCGGAATTACAGGCATGCGTGACCACGCCTGGCTGATTTTTTGATTTATTGTAGAGATGAGGTCTTGCCTGCTCAGGCGGGTCTCGAACCCGCGGGCTCAGGCAATCCACTCACCTCAGCCTCCCAAAGGCGCGGGATTACAGGCTGAGCCACCGAGTCCAGCTCATTGTTCTCTTTTATGTGCTTATGAGACATATATATAGCAGTTCTCACTTACCCACGTTCTAAGAGGTATGTTCCAGGACCTCCAGTGGATGTCTGAAACTGTGGATAGTACTGAGCCCTATGTATACTATGGTTTATTTTTTAATTTTATTTTTTAGAGACAAGGTCTTACTTTGAAATCAGGGTAATCAGCCTGAAATCAGGCTGGAGTGCAGTGGTATGATCATGGATCCCTGCAGCCTTAAGCCGGGCTCAAATAATCGTCCCACTTCAGGCTCCTATAGCTAGGATTACAAGCACACACTTGGCTAATTTAACAAAAAAAGTTTTTGTGGAGTCAACTCTGACTGTGTTGCCCAGGCTTGTCTAGAACTCCTGGGCCCAAGTGAATCTCTTGCCAGGGCCTTCCAAAACATTGAGATTGCAGGCATGAGCCACCATGCTTGGCATATTATATATATATATATATATATATATATATATATATATATTTTTTTTTTTTTTTTTTTAATTGCAATAACTGTGATGGCTATGCTAGACAAAGGGATAATTCTTGTTCCGGGTGGGATGGACCATGATGGTGTGAGATTTTATCACACTACTCAGAATAATGCACAATTTAAATTTTATTAATTATTTATTTTGAACTTTTTCGTTTAATAATTTGGCCTGTGATTAACCTTCAGTAACTGAAACCATGGAAAGTAAAACCTTAGATTGAGGGGGATTACTGTAATGTGATTACACATCGTAGTTTTTTTTTTTTTGAATTGGAGTCTTACTCTGTTACCCAGGCTGGAGTGCAGTCAGTGGCATGGATCATGGCTCACTTTAGTATTCTTGACCTCCTGGATTCAGACGATCCTTCTGCCTCAGCCTCCTGAGGAGCTGGGACTACAGGCGGGCATCACCATACCCAGCTAATTTTAAAATTTTTTTGTGGAGATGAGATCTTGCTATGTTGCCTAGGCAGACTCCCGGGTTCAAACATAGAGCTGGATTTGTAGGCATGAGCCACCATGCCCTGCCACATTGTGGTTTTGATATGGCAATAAAGAACAAGTCATTTTAAAATGGGTGTTAAGACCAGGATTTTGATTCACATTCTTTCAAAGGCTTTCATTCTTTAGGGTTAATGACTTCTTGCATGCCAGTATTTAGATTCCCTCTTTCCATACCATAGTTCATCACCCAGAGTAATGATGGGTTCTGACTAAGCTACATTTAGTCAGCTGAAAGCCAGAATCTGCTCTAGGAGCAGCCAAACTAAAGGATAATAAGTTGGCCAGTTATCTTCAGGAATACCTACTAGGCATTTGATTTTGTTTAATTTTGGTTTTTAGAAGGCTTAAAATGTGTTTCATCATTCTTTAATTTTTTGTATCCTGTATTTTGCTTCTTTCAGTTTTTTCTCCTACTTTATGTTTGGGTTTTTTTGTTTGTTTATTTTAAACTGTGAGCTCCTAATTTTCTTTTAATTTTATTTGTGGATGTTATGTGGAAACTTTAGACATTGTTGTTGCTGCTTTTGACATTCACTGTTTAAATTAAATTCCTCCTTGAGGATTTTTGGGTCACCCAGTTAATGTGAATTCAGGCTGTAAATCCATATGATATGATGGGAGGCTTTTGGTACTGGTTTTTGAGTAGTTATTTTTTTTTACTGTCTTAGTGCTAAGGTTTAAGACAGTTGTCTTTTTATTTTGTGGTAGTGATATTTCTAGGACCTGTATCTTGAAGGTTTACTTCTCTGGGGTTCCGTCTTTATGAGAGGAGCATCTTCTGTTAGACCTGCCACCTTATGCCAGTTTTGGGTTTGTTTCCTGTTCTTCTTATTCTTTGAGATAGGAAAACCTATATCCAAGGTTACCTGGTTGAGTAAATGTTTTCTTTTTTTTTTTTGAGTTGTAGTCTCACTCTGTCACTCAGACTGGAGTGCAGTGACCGCTCCCGGCCAGTGCAGCCTCGACCTGCTGGGCTCCGATGATCCTTCCACCTCAGCCTTCTGAGTAGCCGGAATGACAGGCACGCGTTACCATGCCCGGCTGATTTTTTATTTATTGTAGAGATGAGGTCTCACCAAGTTACCCAAGCGGGTCCCGAACCCACGGGCTCAGGCAATCCACTCACCTTGGCCTCCCAAAGCGCTGGGATTACAGGCTGAGCCACCCGAGCCTGGCCGAGTAAATGTTTTCAAAGTGAAAGCCAACTTTAGTCTTGAGTTTACCACTTAGGCATTCCCTCTTCATTTAATATTTGGTCTTTATCTTTTCTTTCTTATTCACTTATTGACATGCTTAAAATATTTTAATATCTATGAAACAATTGTAAATGGTTTTGTGGAATAGATACTCAGCTCACACTGTTCCTACAAGTGTTTTTTCCTGCAAATTTACTACCCCTTCTGCCTTTTTAATGCCAAGCCATCTGTTTCCTCCTTAGTGCCTCCACTGTCTCCTTGACTTAGAAATAGTACAGGGACTGGTATGAATAATCTTTGAATCACTGGTCATTATACCGTAGGCATTTAAGGAATGAATCACAAAGGAAAAGATTCTTTTTTTTTTTTTTTTTTTGAGTTGGAGTCTCACTGTCGCCCAGACTGGAGTGCAGTGGCCGCTCCCGGCCACCACAGCCTCGACCTGCTGGGCACTGGCGATCCTTCTGCCTCAGCCTCCCAAGTAGCCAGAAAAGATTCTTTATCTTGACTGTATAATGTGTGTGAAGTTAACCCAATTAAAAGATGAATTGCAACTCTAGAAACATTTGCAAAAATGGGTTAACTAGAGGATTAGTACATGTTTGTATACATATATTTTCACATGAAAATTTTTGCAACAAAACAAAAACCCTTTATTTCAGGAACAAATTATCTATCAAGAATTGTATCTGATTAACAAATGTATAGAAAACAGTTTACTTTCTAGTATTCAATTAATGCAAATTAAAATAGCAGTAAGATAACATTTCTTAGCTACCATGTCAGAAAATTTTTTTGAAATGGAGACACCTAAAGTTGGCAAGGAAGAGACCAGATGAAGTAGATACTCTCGTACATCTGGGAATATACATCACCACAAGTATTTTTGGACAGTATCTGGGAAATTTGTATTAAGAATTAAACTTGATTATAATATCTGATCCTGTTATTCCATTTTGGTGCTTAGGAAGTCACCCGAAACAAGGCAAGAACTTTTTGCAAAAAGATTTTCATTGCAGAATTCTTTATACTAGCAAAACTTTGGAAATGGCTTAAATACACATTTTATTTACCTGGAAGTTTAGCTCATTCTTTGTTCTATAAAGGATTACATGCCCATAAATAGGAGAATGGTTACATCAATTGTGGTGTATCTCCCTAATAGATTCTTACATAGAATAAAAACATTTCTGAAAGTATAAAAAGAGAAAAAGCTACTTGACCTGTAGGCAGTATCCTTTTTTGCACTTGCTTCTAGGACACTTTTTTTCTCCTGGCGTTTGTCTTTCCAGACTGACTTTTCCTCCTCCATCTCCTTTTTTGTTGCATTTTCATCTCCCCAACCTCTTAAGATTAGAATGCTCCAAGGCTCTGGTTTTTTGTTTGGTGTGTGTGTGTGTGTGTGTGTGTGTGTGTGTGTGTGTTTTAATCTTCTGGGTTTTTTGTTTGTTTGTTTCTTTTTTTTTTGAGTTAGAATCTCACTGTGTCGCCCAGGCTGGAGTGCAGTGGCACACTCACAGCCATCGCAGCCTCCACCTGCTGGATTCAGGCGATTCTTCTGCCTCAGCCTTCCAAGTAGCTGGAACTACAGGTGTGTGCTACCACATCTGGCTAAGTTTTGTTTTGTTTTGTTTTTACATTTTTGATTCATTGTAGTGACGAAATCTTGCCAAGTTGCCCAGGCTGGTGTTGCCTGGGCTCAGGTAGTCCTCTCGCCTATGCCTCCCAAAGTGCTGGGATTCTGAGCCACTGTCTCCTGCTTCTTTTTCTTTCCATTGACAATTTCCAGTCTTATGGCTTAAAACAATATCTGTATGCAAATGACTCTCAATTTGTATATTCTTTCTAGACTTTTCTTCCAAATTCTAGACTCATACTCAGCTGCCTACTTTATTTATGTCTCCTTTGTGGATAGCTCACATTTAACATGTCCAGAGCTAAACCTGTAATACTGATGTTTTTCCAGTTTTCATGCAAACGCTTCTGCATCATCTGTGGCCTCTCTCTGAACCTTCTACCCTATATTTGGTCTGTCAGGGTATCATGCTGGTTCTGTAATACATTCAGAATCCAACCACTTTTATTGTTTCTTGAATTACTGCAGCAGACTCTTTTTTAAAAAAATTATTTTAAATAGTGGGTACGATTCAGGGTTAGGTATACAAATGTTTATTATGCAGGTACTCTTGCTGATGAGGTGTACCCTTCCCCACTGCCCACCCCCCCGACAGTTTCCCACTACTGCCAATCCCTTTCTTATAGTATTACGATAGTTGTTCAAGGTCTGCTTATGAGTGAGAGCATGTGATACTTGGTTTGCAACAGTCTCTTAACTGGTCTCCCTCCCTCGACTCTCCCTTCCTCAGTCTGTTCTCAGAAGTGCATCATAGCAGTTGTACTCAACTAGGTCAGTTTTGCCTCCCAGGGGACATTTGACAATGTTTGCACAAATGCAGGAGTGGATTGAGGCCAGAGATGCTGCTTAACATCCTGCTTCCCTGTCCCTGAGATACAAAGCCAAAACAAACAAAAAAGAATGATCTGGCCCCAAATGTCTGCCACTATCTTTAAGAAACCCTGTAATAGTATATTATTTTTCTAACATAAGTTGTATCATGGCACTTCTCCCTACCATGGCTCCTAATCTCATTTAAAGTGAAAACCACAATTCTTGTGAGTCTTTCCCGTGCCTCTTGGCATTCATCTTGCTTATTCTGTTCTAACTATTTTAACCTTGCTGCTCTTTGACCACCCTGGGCATTCTCTCACTCTAGGGCCTGTGTGCTGGCAGTCCTCTCTGCCTGGAATGTTCCCCTTGTGTGGTGTGCTTCTCCTCCTCCTCCTCGTCCTCCCTCTTCCTTCCTTTCCTTCCCCCTTTCCCCCTTCTCCCCCTCTTCCTCCTCCCTCTCTTCCTCCTGCCTCCCTTCTCTCCCCTCTTCTTTTTCTTCTTCTTTGTTTTTTTTTTTTTTTTTTTGGAGATGGATGCCCAGATGGTAGTGCAGTGGTGCAATCATAGTTCATTACAACTTCAAACTCCTGGGCACAAATAATCCTCCCATCTCAGCCTCCCACATAGCTGGGAATACAGGTACCCAACAACATGCCTAGCCATTTTTTGGGGATGTTTTTCAGAGATGAGGCCTTTCTGTGTTGCCCAGGCTGGTCTCAAACTCCTGACCTTAAGCAATCATGCTGCCTTGGTCTCCCAAAGTACTGGAATTATAAATGTGAGCCACCATGTCCTGCTACCTTTACCCTCTTAAAGTCTTTGCTTCTATCTCATCTGTTCAGTGTGACTCCCTAACCAATGACATAAAGAATTGCCTCTCACCTCTCCTCCCCTCGTATTCCCAATCCACATTACGTACTGCCTTCCTTTTTTGTCTATAGCACTTTGCCCTGCTAACATTCCATAAATTTTATTTATATCATATTTATCTCTTGTTGTATTGACAGTCCTCTGCCTTCTGCCCCTGTAAGATTGTAAACTGTAAAGGGGAAGTGTTTTTTTTTTTAAACTGATGTGTCTTAAGTGCCTGGAACAGGACTTGGCACAAAATAGACACTTTATAAACATTGTACAAAACAGACATTCTCTAATACTGTTGATTTAATGAATAGCAATTTAGTTATAGCACCTAATAGGGCTTTTTATTTTAATGTCTTTCTATTTTTCAAAACATTTGCCATACTTCTGTGATATGCAGACATTATTTTTGTAATAGAAAAAGTAAAGTAAGTGATATGAATTTTGTTGTGGTTAAATATTTTTTCTTTTATAAGTGAAATTAAGATATATCCTGTTCTATCTTTAAAATATTCAGAATGTTATGAAGCAGTATATAAAAGGAATATCTAAGTTTTGTTAATATGTTCTAGTATTTACAGATTAAAAATTAAACTTATTTTTTATTTTCAAAGGACTATGATTTAATCTCCAAAGAACCAAAGCCGTTTGTATTTGAGGGAAAAGTATGTGGTCCCATTGTTGTTCCTACAGCAGGAGAAGAAGTATCTGGGAGTTCTGTCAGTTTAAGAAAAGGAGTTGTAATGAAGGAAAATGTATCTCCTAAAGGAGATGAAGGTGATAAGAAACCTGCCTGTGTGGATCTAGTAAAAGAAGATATTAAAGATAATGATAGAATATTACAACAGCAGCTAGGTGATCAAAACAGAACTATTTCATCAGGCCATGGCTTAAACAATGATATCGTGAAGGCCTTGGACCGAATTACACTGCAGAATATTCCTTCTCAAACAGCCCCAGGTTTTACTGCAGAAACGAAGGATTACAGTCTTCCTCTTACTGTCCTTACGTGTACTAAAGCATGTCCACATGTGGCTACTTGTGGAAATGCTCTGTTTGAGGGAAGAACAGTTCAGCTAGGGAAGCTTTGCTGCACTGGAGTTGAAACCGAAGATGAAGATACTGAGTCTAGTTCATCAGTGGAACAAGCATCAGTTGAGGTACCTGAGGGACCAACACTCCATGACCCAGACCTCTATATCGAGATTGTGAAAAGTACAAAGTCTGTCCCTGAATATTCAGAGGTGGCTTATCCTGATTATTTTGGTCATATTCCACCTCCATTCAAAGAGCCTATTTTAGAAAGGCCTTATGGTGTACAAAGGTGAGTTGCATCTTTCTTCCTCCTTATAAATAAGACTATTGTCAAGATATGAAGCATACTTAAAAAAATTTGCTTTGGGAATTGGGAAAAAAGTTACTCTGAATTAAAGTTATAGTACTTTTTAGTTTTGCTTTGGAAATTTTGCAGTGTTTTGCAATTTTCCTTATAGGTTTGCTTTATTTCTTGAACTCATTACTTATTCAAATGAGACCAGACTAATAAACCTGACTATTGAATAATTTAGAACTTTTCTGTTAGACGGAATCTCAGTATATAAAATATTGTTTAATAATCTTTGAATAAATATTACCTTAGCAATATTTATTAATTTAGTAACTTATCATTTGAATTTACTTTAGTATATGATTTTAAAATAAGCCATAAATGAAACAATATGGACAGTATTACTTTGTTTTAAATTTAAATTTGCAATACATAATGTAAAAATTTAGGATTCAAAAAGCACTAACTAAGGTTGTTAAATATTGCCAAGTAGGATTAGATATTACAAATAATATTACATATTGCAAACTAGTGGATATTTGGCATATAAAAATAACTTTTTTGTTGCATCTGTTTTGGTGATTATGGTTAAGGGTTTATGATGATGGCTTATACGTATCTGGAAAAACATTTATAAACTCTTAGTTATGAGTATAGCATGGAATAAAGGAAGATCTTGTCATGGGTACTTGATTCTCCTTAGACTGTAAGTTCCTTTTAAGACAACAATTGTATCTTATTTATTTTTATCTGTACCATCTTACATAACTTATTATATTTACTTGGCAACTTAGCGTGTGTTTAGTGTTACCAGTTGGCTCCTTGATTCACAGGTGTGGACTCTCACATAACATAGCATTAGAAGGGGGGACTTAAATTTCCTGGGATAGATGTGGGAGTGGGCCTGTGCTAGGGCCCCTGTTGCATTCCCGACAGCACCTAGAGTCAGCTGGCCTCTTGTAGTGCTGGAATAGCCTTCAAAAGGCCCAGGCAGAGCTCTAGCTCAGAGGAAATACTCTGCTTGAGTTGCCATCTTTCAGATGTAGTATATCCCCTAAATTAGAAACTTCTGCCTAGTTCTGTATTCCTGGTAGAAAGAATCCATGAGCCTGGGAATGAGGAGGTGAGAACAGGCGTGGCTCTATTTACTATAGCTTCCAGTATCCCACTGGGGGACTTTATGCTTTCTGTTCCTGCATCTCTGGGCTCCACAGGGTTAGAAATCCTGGTCCCAAAGGGAACACAGCAGGGGTACAATATAACTGCAAACTGTAGTTGTCTACTGTTTATTTTGTATTCCTGGTATCTAAGACCAGCAGGTGGGGAGAGGCTTTCCCATCTTGACACAAGTGATTGACCCTGATCAGCTAAAGGAGGTAGGGTTGCTATTACACAGTGGCAACAGGTTGAATATGTGTGGAACTCAGGCAGTCCAATTATGCGGGAGACCCCAAAAAAACCTTGAATTATTTTTTGAAGGTGGGCCCCTTGTAGTAAAGCCTTCCTCTGTCAAGTAAGTGTTCTAGGAACTGACTGACATCAGTGTTCCAACTAGCATTGTTGTGAGAGGCTGCATTCAACTCTGGTGAACCTTTTTTTTTTTGAGATTCTTTCAGTTCATTTGCCCATTTCATGATGGATAATTTATGAGTGAACCTATCCACACCGCACTGAATGTTCAGAAGTTTTTGACCAAAAATAGCATGACCCCCATACCCCACCCTTCCTAGTCACCCAATCTCGCCTTGAGTGACTTTTTTTTCCTCAATGAGAAAAGTCCTCAAAGGGAAACATTTTGGAAGAGGTGAAACAAAAAATAGCAGAAGCAATGAAAGGCATCAAAACTGACAAGTGCAAAAACTGTTTTGAGCAGTGGGGAAAGTGTCTCCATGGGTATATCACATTAAATGGAGATTACTTTGAAGGTGATGTAAGTTTAAACATGTAAGAATAAATATGCAGTTTTTTATAAATAAATTTGGTTTTTTTGGGTCCACTTTTTATTTGCCTCTTGCTAATCCCTTGCCCAATTTTAACTATTCTCAGACAAATCACAGTCAGTCTGGAATGAGAATAATCCCCAGGGACCCAGATCTCTCAGGAATGAGAGTTTGGGTCGCTTAATCAGATGGGCTATGCTACCAAGACCTGCAGAGGTGATAGCTGAGGGGGAGGGGGATTTAAATAGATACTGAAGGAGAAATGAGAAGTGATAGCTTGGAGAACAATCGCAGAGTTGGAGATGGACTCTGTCTTGCTGTTTTTCTTCCATGTCTCTCCTTAGGAGGGTCCCACAGGAGCAGGTCTATTGAGCAGGTCTTGGCATTTGCTTTTTGAAGGACCTGAACTGACACACGTGGAGTGAGTAAGAATCAGGCAGTAACTTGGTAATTCTTTGTGCATCATTTCTTAGGCTCTCTACCTCTGCAAAATCAAAGATATCATCTTGTCTATGGAAGGCGCTTCCTGAATTAAGTGTCCTTGAAAAACTGACAAGTTTTCTTATTAAATAGCTTCAAACAGAAAGTATTTTCTTTTCTTACTAGCCTGTAATGTCTGAGGTAAGGTTAGAAGGAAGAGAGATTGAAGAATTGAGGAATAATATTGTATAAGCCTGTGATGCTCGGCCTTCATTTTTAACCATCAAGGAGCCTCTTATTTCCTGTCATGGACTTTACGTTATGAATGCTTTCATCAATCCAGGCTCTTAAGAAGTATTTTACTTGCTTACATTAGTAAGGGATATATATTCCTGCCAAGCAGAGCCTCTGAGCAATATTTGACACCAAGGGCTAACCTCGTTCAGTTGATTTATACACCAGTTGTAGAGGAGCTTAGTGTTTTAATTAAGTGCAGCCTTAGGTCAGATAAATGTGTGATGGCTGTGACTAGCTGTGGTGCCTCTTTGAATCCTTACAGTGTCTGTGCTGTGGGCGAGGAGTTACCACCCTCAGCTCTGGTGGCCTCAGTCCTCTTTGAACAGCTAGCTCTGATGTTGGGCTTCATGCTGGCCCGGCTGACTTGGTCTTTCAGATAATATTGTTCCATCCACGGTCCCAAGTTCTACTTCCTCTTTCCCTGGGATGGGCCTGTCCTGATGGGGGAGGAATTTGTACAGACTGAAAATGACTGTGACTCTTCTCCAACCTCCTCCTCTCTCTTAGTGTTGATGATTTCTCTTCTCACCTTGCTTCTGAAACCTTGACCTCAGAATTGCCCTGCAAATGTAATCTACAGCTTTGAGCCCAACTTCTTCCAAATATTAGGCCATCTGTAGGACTTTTTCCTGAAGTAATTGGCTTTTTTACCATCTGTGTACACAGTGTAACGAACCAGCAAGTTTGTCTACTACTCGGAACAAAGCTCTAAGAAATATTCTTGATGCTAGTGAAGTAAACAGCATGATGAAAGATGAAAAGTTAGATGAGAGTTAGTAAGTGTGCTGTAAAGACAGACGCGTAGGTTTGCAAGTGACGGTGCAAAGTAGCTGGAGCGCAAGCAAACAGAAACTCAGAAAGTCCAGTAACTTAAAAGTCTGTTGTTACCTGGGTTTGCTCTTAGAAAATTTGCAATGAGAAAAACAGAGCTGGGCTCTAAAACGCCTTTGAGGGTTGATTAATTCATGTCTCTTCAGTTTCCTTCTTTATAGAGACATTTCCCCATTGATTCTCATGACTTTGATGAAGATGTTTTCTCATTTGTTGCTGCAGAAATCAGTCATCAATTCTAATGAAATAAAAAATCATCACCTGCTAATCTCTCATCATGTCTTTTTTGTGATGGAGACTGTGATCACGTTTGAATGATTTGTATACCTTATGTTGCAAAGAACACCTTTTATCATATTTGTCAAAATTCCATGCTCATGTCATATTTTTGTCACCATTTCCATGGGTATCAGATAGTTGATATGAAGCAAGAGAATAAGCATATTTCAGTATGGCGCTGCAGCCCTGAGAATGACTGCATGAATGGGGATGAAGTTTTTTTATTTCAATGAAATAGTATGATTCTGTTTATATTATTGAGATATATAAGACGTTGCCCAATAATGTTAATTAGTTTAGCTATGACTACTACAATAACTGTTTTTATTTTTAAATGTTTACAAAATGTATAGTATATACTACAGTACTTTTATATTTGGAAGTTATTGCTCTTTCCTTCTTCATTTTATATACTCTATGGATACAGTCAACTCTTGAACAGTGCAGAGGCTGGGGCGCTGACACTCATGCTGTTGGAAATCCTAGTGTAACTTTTGACTCCCCATAGCTTAGTACTAATAGCCTACTCTTGAATGGAAGCCTTACCGGTAACATAAACAGTTAAGACTTATTTTGTAGCTATATGTATTATATCCTGTATTTTGCAGTAAAGTGACCTAGAGAAAAGAAGACATTAAGAAAATCGTAAGAAAAAGTATATTTACTATTCATTAAGTGGGAATGCATCATCATAAGTCTTCATCCTCGTTTTCATGTTGAGTAGGCTGAGGAAGAGGAAGAAGAAGAGGAGGAGTTTTTCTTGCTGTCTCAGGGGTGGCAGAGGTGTAAGAAAATCCTCATATAATCCATTGTTCAAACCTGTGTTGTTCAGGGGTCAGCTGTATTTTACAAGTGTTTATGTGTACACTGTGGGAGCAATGTAGTCCTGATGATCAAAGGTGTATACTTCATAGCCTTCTCTTTCCCTTTTATTTTTGAATAATGGATAAGAAACTCTTCAGAATTATTTGTTCCTTCAAGTAATATAAATTTGAGACTGGAAGAACAAATGCATATAGCAGAAATACTTGGACAATTGAATTAGACTTGATGAGAGTGTGAGGCAGTGTGGTGTGGTGAGGCATCTTGGCAGGGCAGGATGCACTCAAAAGCAAGTTCTGCTCTAGACTTAGCTTTCTCTCTCTCTCTCTCTCTCTCTCTCTCTCTCTCTCTCTCTCTCTCTGTGTGTGTGTGTGTGTGTGTGTGTGTGTGTGTTTGTCTGAACAAATA